AGGGGAGACACTCAGGCCAGTCCGCGTACAGCACGTATCGCACAGGCAGTTGAGACTTTGCCGATGCGCAACATCTCGTGCCATCCGCGACCCCCGACCATGACCAGAGTGTCATCGGCGTAACACACCATGGCCGTCGTACGCGATGATCTACAGGATCGGTCTCAACACCGACCCCTGCAAAACGCCGCGCTCGACGGCCCGCCTTTCCTCCTCATCCCTACTGCCATAGCACACCCACCCGTCATCGAGGTAGGCGCGGATTATCCGAACGAAGTAGCTGGGAATGAGACTTGTATGAGAGGTAACTATACTAATAATTAAGTAAATAAATATCTAGCATAACAACACTATAATATCATACGTGACTCAATGGCTCCTGTAATAGTCAATTGCTAAAATTAAAAATCTTCTCTTAAACTTACAGTAGTTGCAGGAAGGACAACTACATAATATCTGGCGGATCACCTACCAGATGTATTTTACGAGCAATATCCCTATCATGGCAATATTATAATTATAAATTATAAGTAGCTAAACTAAATATATAGCATATAACATACCTACCATTTAAATGGGAACCTAACCTATACCATTCATTATACATCTTACAATACTGTACTTATAATTAAATTACAAATTACACATCATCATCTTAATCTTACATACTAATTAATAATTCCGCCCTATTAAAACCATATTTATTAAATAATTTATTACCATATTTACAATTTGACACATCGTATCCTAACAAGTCTTATACAATTCTTATATTATCATGGCATGGTGTTGAACGATGTCCAGAGACACCGCCAACGCCACGCCGTCCCGGGAAACCATTTCTTCTGTGAGTACCTGTACGCACCTGATGGCGTCGATCGTCGAGTGTCCCGTCCGGAAGCTGCACTGCCTGTCGTGCCAACCCGGTACCCGCCCCGACATGTGTCGTTCCAGATAGGCGGCGACGACTCTGTCACGTAAAGTTGGTACTTGGATTGTAGCAAGTAGGCTAAGTCGTAACCCAACTACTAATTTTCCTTTATAAGACTTTATTATAAATGTCAACACTTACAAAAATAACACCGAACCGGAGAAAAGGGGTTGTATGAGTACAGTAATAAGAAGAAGAACAAGAACTGCCCGAGCTGGATGAAGTTTATATACATTTTGGTTTTAGGATGTTGAGGGGCTAGGTGTAGGTTATGGTGTGGAGAAGTGTCCGAAGGTTGGGGGTCGATGTCTTATCTATGATGTGGACTAAGGTGTGTCATAGCTTCTGTGTAGGCTATGATGATAAGGTGGTGATGTGTCCAAAGGAGTCCAAAGCTCGGGGTCGATATCTCATGGTTGAGATGAGATTGATGTTACAACTCTCTCGAGGAGCTTGCCGACCTCATCTAGTAGGCATATCGGCCGGTATGCCGACGGCGAAGCTGCCGGTCGGCTCTCCTTGTAGAGCAGGACCAGCCTCATTGTTCGCCACGTCCGTGGGTAGACTCCATCTCTCAGGCGTCTGTTTTAAAGTGCCGAAGTCTGGGAGCCACGACCCTATTGCTTCCCCCTAGACCCGGCCCGGGATCCCGTCCGGGCCCGGCGCCACGTTGCGGGAGGTCATTTTCCTGGTCGCCACCCACAGCTTCTCCTTGGTGACTTCACTCAGGGTGGATTCCCGCGGCTGCTCGAGCGCGGAGTCCTCTTGCGGGGGGAACAGCATCCCGATGACCTTGGCCAGCAACGTCGGTTCCATCGTCGACGTAGGCGGGAGACCCTTGCCGCGGAGTTTACATGTCGGACTCGACCGTTCCTACCTGGTCCGTCCAGGAACGGCCCTTGGCGGCCCTGATTTCTCTCTGCAGCGAGCGCCTAAGTTCGCGATACGTTCCGTAGCGCGGAGGGATCTCTTCCTCATCGCGTCGCCGCCTGCGGCGAACCCTCAGATACCGTTTCCGAACCTGGACTCATCTCGCCTTCAGCTCCGCGAAGTCGAGGTTCCACCAACAGACCAATCCGAGAGCGCGCGACCGCGCGTGTTGGTCCGGGGGTTTCCCCATTCGGACCGGGCGTTAAAGTCCCCCAGGACGAGCATCTGCCGGAGGAAGGTACCGCCTGACGTAGACGCTGACCCCATCCGGGAACTCCTCGTACGCTGTCCATCCGCAGTTGGACGACACGTACACGCCCACCACCACCATTCCTGCCAACTCCACCGCGACCTATCCGTTGCCGCGACCTATCCAGCGAGACCCCGTGGGCGAGTGCCCCCGGCGGTGATGTCCAAGTGACGGCGACCATCTCGTCCGTGTCTCCGGTCCAGTCCGGAGCGTCCAGCATATTGTACGGTTCGGCCACCACAGCTAGGGCGGCCGCGTTCTCCCGGATAGTTTGAAAGAGCAGGTCTTACGCTCTTCAAGACGGTCCCAGGTTCGTTTGGAGGATGCGCATGTTCTTAGTCTCCTAAGTTCATCGCTTCCATGGCGTCCTCCGCACCGACATCCTTGCTGTCGGGTTCAGGGTCTCAGGTACCCTGCAGCGGCGAGCCTTCCTTTTCACCACTTGCAGCCGCGGGTGGCTCTTCTTCTCGTTTCCTTCCTCGGAGGAGCGCAAACCGGTCCTCCCATCCTATGCGCCGACGGTGCCCTGAGCGCCTCGCAGGACAGGCATTTCGGGTTTGCGGCGGTGCATCCTATGGCTCGGTGTCCCGGGCCACCGCACCTGTAGCACAGGTGCCCCCTGTCCTCCTTGGAGGTGCACGTCCTCTTCACGTGCCCGATCTCCAGGCACTTGTAACATTGCAGAGGTCTTCGCGCGATGGCCTCGATCTTCGCTGTTGACCATCCTATCGGGACCTTGCCAGCCTGGGCCAGTATCCTCACCGCTCCGGCCGGGCCTCGCATCCACACGGATCCAAGACCGTTTCGGTCGGATCGGACCTTGCCCAGTTGGATGTCCTCCGCCTTGCAGCCACCCTCTTTTGCCAGGGTGTCCCTTATCTCTTCTTTGGTGACCGAGATGTCTATCCCGACCACCCTTGCTTCCGCGGCTCGAAAAGGTACCGCTACTCGGACCTTGCTGGGATCCAAAATCCGCGTCAGATGTGCCGCGAGCGCGGCAGCCTTTTCCCCCTTCTGGTCTTCGGTGAGCTCTAGTACGACGCCTCCGGTCATGGCTTTCCGCATCCTCAGCGCCTTGACGCCGACCTCGGCCAGAGGGATACTGCCTCTGGCAAAGGCCAACACCTCCACGTAGGATTGGGCCGATCCTTCCTTCGTCGTGATGGTGACCGCTGATGTTCGCGGTGTGCGCGGGAGGGGCGGCTTGTCACCCCTTTTTTCCACGGTCTCCGTTCTTCGCCCTGGGGCTTTTCTCGAATTCTTCGACCCTGACACCGTGGTCGTCCTCGCCGGTTGTTTTTCGATCGACGCCTTCTTGCTTTTCCTTCTCCTTTCCACGATCTGCCATTTCATGGTAGTCGCTTGTCCATCCATAGTCGCTGGAGCGTTTGGAGCTTCAGTGTCCACCCTTCTTGTGGCCTGCTTGGGGACGGCCTCCGTTTCCTTTTTCCCGTCGATGTCTGGTAGGCGTCCCTCTGCTAGTCGGGTCAACGCGGTGCCCACCTGCTCCATCTTGCGCTCGATAGCAGACAGGGGCGACTTGCCGCTCTTCTCCGTTACAAAGTGCGGGGGTATCTTCTCTCCGAGCGCCGCGATCCCCGCTTCCATTGTCGTCAATCGTGCTTCCATTGTCGTCAATCGTGCCTCCATTGCCGTTATTCGTGCTTCCACTATGGCGACGCACGGCGCGGCGTCCACTCTTCTTGTCAACTCTGTTGCATTGAGGGTGAAGAACGTTGCCGCGTACTTTAGGGTCTTCACGTATCTGTCCTTGAGATTGCCAGATTTTTCGGCAACCACAACCACCTCGTCAGCTAACCGGATCTGTTCCACCCCTAAGTCCGCCGTCGTGGCTGTTCTGAGTTCCTGGGCCATTTCCTGGTGAAGCCCAGAGTGTCCGCCAGACTTCCTCATCCTTGCGCGTCGCACTCGGACGATGAGGGGGGTATCCTCGTCATCCGACGTTTCTTCGAAGAGTTGGCTTCCAGTGCTTGATGGGAGGCGGAAGAACCCCGCCTTGGGAGTGCCCAACTCTGCTTCGGCGCTTACACTCGCGACTTCCTCCGTCTTTTCCTCTTCGTTCTTTTTACTTCTTGCCTTGTTCTTGATTTCTGGATTCATCATCTGGTTCTTTCGGCACCCAGTCACCGAGGCTTCCGGGTGCCTCCAATTCCTTGCGGATAGGGAGTCACCCCCGGCAGAGCCGCTTACCGGGGGAAGGCTGATACCGCCGGGAGGTCGCCAGGTATCCCGGGGTTGGCCACTAATGACCGATGCACCCATCAGCCACTTCGCAATGCCCTCGACTGCGAAGTACCCCGTCGCCGCGCACCGTTGCCTGGGGTTAGGGATTTTTTATAGAGGTTGTCATCCTCGTGGTCCGGCCGATGAAGGCAAGACCCCCGGCCCATTGAGACATGACCAATGGAGTACGGTATTTGGGCTAGGGTTCCTCGGGATCGCATGCCCGTACTGCAACTCGCCAGCGAGTCCGCAGCCCCTGTGGGATTGGAAGGTATGGGAAAGGAGAGGAGAAGTGGGAGAAAGAAGGGAGAGCCGTGACCTCCGGGCTCCTCGGTAAGACACCACATCCCGGCCGCGAGGCCGGGACCCAGTCATGTCCGTTCCCGAGTCAGAAACTTGACGTAGATCTGGCGGGATGTTAAGCCCGCGACGACCACCTATCGGATCCCCGTCGCGTGTGGGTTTTACGCCACGTTGTCCTCCTGTTCTGTTCCTCGGGAAGGGTGAGTTTCTAGCCCACGTCGCTATCCTTGTACAGTCGGCATCTTCCTTCGGGACCTCCGGTCGCTGCTCCAGGAAAGGATTGTGATAAGTGGGCGGGAGAGGAGAAGGGTGCTTGAGATAGCCATTGCTCCATTAGCCACTGGCAAGCCAGTGTTTACCAGGCCCCACCGACTTGGAGGAGGAGTTGGCACTTGGCACTGGTGGGCGTGAAGAGTGCAATGCCACACCAGCGCCTTTAGGACCTGTCCGCAGGCAACCCAACCCCAACCTAACCCCATATCTAGCGCGCCTACTTCCATATCAACCGCTCTCCTCGCCAAATACCTCCCCCTTTATCATTTCTCACTGTAAGCGGCGTACTCAGGACACAATCCCCGGCGCAAAACACCACTTCACCACCTTCTGATTCCGTTTTCATCTGGGTCGTTCGGTACCCATCCACTGAGGCTTCTGGGCGCTTTCAATTCCTGCGGAAAGGATGTCGTACCCGGTACAGCCGCTTACCGGGGGAAGGCTGATACCGTTGGGGGGTTGTCAGGCACCCCGGTGTTGGCCGCTAATGACTGACGCACCCATGAGTCACCTCGCAATACCCTCAACTGCGAGGTACCCCGTCTCTTGGTATATGTAATGTATCTAAAATTGGCGAAGGAAATGCCAAAACAAACTTGACAGTTGATTACAGTGTTCATATTCACCTCCAGTACTAATATAGTAGTTACACCTCCTAGATGGTCTATATGAACAAGTCTGTCTATTACAATGAGGCAATTTGTTTCTCATATTTGGAGAATAAGAGTAACTTTAGTATTAGTATTATAATATATTTTACTCTACATTTTATTCCAGTTAAAACAGCATATTTATTTATTTTCTTGTTTATTCCTCTAAATAACAGAGTCTATTTTACTCCTGTTGGTAAGTGAAAAAATGCTTTAAGATTTACTATATGAATTATTTTGTAATGTGTCTTTATTTCCTATCTAGATTTTATTTATTTTGGAGTTTTTTTTAATTTTGATAGTATTTCGAGAACATGTCAGATTTTCGTAAAAATAAAGATCTACAATCAATATTGAAAAATTTAATGCCAAAAGAAATACGAACGACTGCGTATTTTTCTAGGAACGAATATGGGAAAAAATGCATATTTTCCAAAAATTTATGTAAACTTAAAATGTCATTGAAGAAGGTCAACCTTGGCTATACAGAAAACAGATTTCGACCTTAGCTATACAGAAAACAGATTTCTTAAAAATATTTATGAGCGGTTTAAACGAGATTTCATTTATTAAAAAAAAGAAAAAA